TAGCAGTCTCTGCTACAGGATATAAGAGCCTTCTTGCTTCTGCCAGTGACACTGGGTGGCCATGAGCTATCTATCACAGGATCACTGAATGCTCACTCTAGAAAGGCCCGTAGGGATTACTTAGTTCAACCCCCTGATTTTATAAATGAGAGCCTGGGGCGCAGTGAAAGAAGTCACTCCCTCACTGTTAAAGTTGTTTGGTGCTAGAGCCACAGTGTTTTGCTTAATTGGTCAGTGCTTTATCTGCAAAGTGGGTCTTTAAACAAGAGAACCTTCTCATCTCCTTCATAAAAGTGCTGTGAAGTTCACGTTTCAATGATAAAGAAACATTAAAACAAATACAAATTAAGATGCTGATGATATGATTGTTACAATGTTACAAGACCTAAATGATTCTTCAGTTACTCAGAAAGCTCTTCTATGTCCTGTGGTTCCTAAGAATATTCATTATTAGGAATTTCAGCTACTCCCATATAATACTGCCAAATCATTTAGCTGACCATATGTTTGAGGGGTGAAAATCTACCACCTTTAATGAAAAACCTAGTACTAATTGTGTACATTTGTGCAATTATCTAACCTTTTTTGATTTTAGTTCTTTTCATCAGTAAAATGAAGATGATAATACTCATATCGCAGGTTTGTTCTGGGCATTAATGAAGAAATGAAAGCCGCTTGTTAAAGTATCTGGCACCTAGTTGGGACCCAATAAATGTAAGTTTCCGTTCTTACTCTTACATAGTTGAGGTCCTTTCTGGGAATACCTAGGGGACCATTACACTTAATGATTGATGTAATCACTCAAAAGGGAGCACTTCCAACATTTAATCAACAAATATTATTTTTAAAAAATATCTACAATTGCTGAACTAGTTGCCAAAGATCCACAGATACAAACAAAAGCCTCTGTTTCCCAAGGGAGACTGAAAGGTAAACAGAAAATAAGCATCATGTGACAAGCTGCAAGGACAAAATGGGGTGTGGGGAGGGGAAGGCTTAGATGTCTACTTGGGTGAATGATGGAAGGCTTCTCTAAGGAGGCTATAAACTTCATCGGGGAGGAGTAGGAGCTGGTTTGGTAGAAGGGAAAAAGAGGTGGGGGGAAGACAGAGGTGTGAGGAAGCACTTTTTCTGTAATAAGAGAAGTATTTTAGATACTGCTGGAACAGTTAAAAAAAATGAGCTTTAGCAAAAGAGAAGGGTGACTGTGATGGCAGTGGAGTTCTGATCGATTGTATCTTGTCATTTTCGGCAGAAAGGTAATGGGAAAGGGATGAATGGAAAGAAGTGGGAAAATGACACCTCGGTATTACTGAGTGCAAAAGTGGGGGCTGGCTGGTGGAAGCCCACATCCACCCCCTTCATTCATTTAGTCATTCAACAAATAGTTACTGAGGGCCTGCCATGTTCCAGGCTGAATTCCAGGAGCTAGAAATCAGGCAATAAACAGGACTGGCAAGGTTTCTGTTCTGATGGAGGAGACTGACAGTAGATAAACAAGTAAACAGGCAAGAGACTATCAGATAAGTGCTGCTTGGAAAATTAAACGAGGTGATAAAAGAGTCCCTGGGAGGCTACTCCTCACTCCCACTCCTTCCTTCTGAATACTCACCAAGCCTCCTCTTGATCTAACTTTGATTTCCCTAGGAGGCTTTGCTCTTAGAAAAATCCCTAAGGTAAATAATTAACTTAGCTCTCTGGGTGCTTCCAATAAGTCTTGACTGAGTGGAGAGTCAGAACTAGTCTTCCCTAGGGTCTGGTCAGCTTGTAATCCTTGCTTCAGGACCACCATTCTGCCAGAAGTCTTAAGTCTAAGGCTAGGGGAAGGTCACAGCAACCTTGAGACCTTTTCTGATCATGGTTCGTTCCCATGGCAATGTATGCCCCTCTTCCCGAGTAGGCACTCCCCCCCCACCGCCCCCTGCCCCATCTATATATCTCCTTTAGAAGAGAAACATTTGATGGTGTGATTGAAATTGTGCATTTTTCTCCTCTGAAAAATACAAACTTAAAGCTCATCCGCCGCTGCTGGCAGGAGCCCGCTGCCCCCTACCCGCTACCCCTGCACTCCTGGGTTCCTGAGGACTGGCTGGGGAACCCCCGAGGCCGCATGTTCCCGAGCTCCTGAGCAGGAAGCTGGCTCATCAGCACCAGGGCTCACTGGTATGTATGTCATAGCTCCTCAGTGCCAAAGCGATGTGGGCCAACAACAAAAAAGTGAACGTTATATTAAATATAGCCGAAGAAACAAAAAACTGAAAAAGCAGATTTCCCAATGTGCCCCGTGGTCTTCCCCCATTTGACACATTTACTCACTGCAAGATTCCCCCCCGCCCGATATATTTTTTTTATTATGAAAACTTTCAAAGACACAGGAAAGTTCCCCGTGTCTTAGGAAAATCTAGCTAAAGCCCCAGGAAGTCCTTTTTAATTTTGCCCAGCTTCTTTGGACTGCTTAGTAATCATAGTTTGCCCTCTGGAGACCATAGTAGTCAAGGATGACTAAATTAGGGTCGCTGCTCAGAGAGGTTTTTATTCTAGCTGGGGAGAATAGATTCTAATAAAAACCTTTCTTCTTTTCTTTAGTTTTTTCTATTTTTATTTTTAGCAGTTTATACCTTACACATTCCTGATGCCATCAAAACCATAAAATCAGAGCTGAAGGAAATTTAGAGATCACCTTTGAGGGGGGTGGCAAATGTCTGGCATATATTGGTCCACTTCCTAAACTCCTGCCCATGGTAGACATTGCTAATTGATCATTCATTCATTATTGAACACTTTATTTATTGAACATCCTCTATGTTCCACATGTTATGTTAGGAATACAGCAGGAAACCAGACAGACTTGTTTGGGGAAGACAGACATTAAACAAATAATTACACGCATGAAAAGTGTTTTAAAAAGGCAGAGTGTGGGGGCAGACAAGGGCATCACACACCTGAAGGTAACCTGGTGTTGGAGCAGGGTCAGGAAAGGCCTCCCTGAGGAAGTGATGTTTAAGCTGAGGTAGAGAGAGAATAAGGAACTGAGTCTCTGAGAGGGTGGAAAAAAACCACATTACATGCCAGTATAAAAGACCATATGAGTCAGGGCAAGCTCCATGGCTAAGTGAGGGTTATGGGTACTAAGGAGGGGTAAGTGTCCAGGGGAAAACAGAAGTTGGTCCAGCTAAGACTTGAATAACGATTGGTTGATAGGAGAGAGCTGCAAGAGCTTGAGCAAAGGTCAGATTTTATTGTTTATCCTCCCCTTTCCTAGGATTTATTCCCTTAACTGCTGTAATTTTTAAAAAAGCTATAAATTATTAGCTATCTACGCCATGGTGGCAATTCGAACGAATTCTCACTTCTTCCTTGTGAGACCAATATTATTTCCCTAGCTTTACACATGAGAGGAAAAGAAAAAAAAAAGAAAAAGGCGTGGGAGGATTATAGCTGCACTTTTCCACAACTCCTTACTGCCATAAAATCCCAAGACCGAGGCTTGCTCTAACAGCAGTCAATAAAACTTGGAAAGCGACAGAGAGCGTTGACTGAGGAATCGGAAATACTATTGCAGGACAGGGTCGGTACAGATGCCCCAGGTGAGTAGACACCGTTAGGCAGAGCAAGCGAGCCTGCGATCTCTCTGGTGCACAGCCTTGAGGACCTTGGGGTGCAGGAGGTGGGAGGGCGGAGGGGTGTTAGCGGGATGGCGAGGCGTGGGAAGTGACTGAGAGGGCATCCCTGAGCTGCCCCAGGACTGCACTGTGGGGAGGTGCCCTGCTCTAACCACTACTCGGCCCGGCCCGGTTAATCATTTCCTGACCTTCCTTCCTTCTCTCGCCCTGCCCGCAGGATTGCCACATCCTCCTCCCGCTGCTCGCCTCCTGGCCTTGCTGCTCCTTCGCCGGGTTTTACAAGGAGCCCCAACTTTGAGACAATATTTGTAATAGCCCAGGACGTCCTCAAGGCCGTGCACCAGAGAGATCGCAGGCTCGCTCGCGTGTAACGCCTGCTCAAACGGCCCCTTGAGGCTTGCCCTATCCATTTTCCACAAAGAGATCAGTCAGGGATCCTATCCCCGCACGCATTAACCAACCAGACTCGATTTCCCTCTTGGTAAAAAAGGGGATTATAACAGCATCTGGCAGAGTGGTGCGGGTTAAATGAGGTATTGTGTGTAAAGTGCCTGGCTAGGAGACAGTAGTACGTGTTTAACAAATGTTAGATCCCTTCCTTTTTTATTACCTGGTAACCTGGACCTCGTGCTCAACAAAGCCAAGTTAGGGCTATCCCACTTAAACTTCCTGTGAAGGGTGAGGTATGAAAGTCTGACCACGTGCTCGAGGTAATGCAGATGGTGAGTCACAGTGACAGGGTTTTAACTCAGGTTCGTGGGCACCCCGGCGAGCCCAGCCACGCAGCACCCAGGTGGCTGGCTAAGACCACGTGTTCAGAACCTAGAAACTGATCAGTATTGCACCTGCTGCAGAGAGAAAGAACACTAGATCAGCACTGTTCTGAGACCTATGAAGCCCTCTGTGCCACCAGGGACCAGGCCCTTAACTTCTCTGCGCTTGTGTGTAAAATCGGGGCTCTAGTACCTGTCTGCTCGAGTGACTTTTGTTTTCTTCTTCACATTTTGTGTGGCCAGATTTTCTACCACGCTACAGTCAGACCACCACACACACCAGGCAGGTGAATCAGTCTTCTCTGACTACGAGGGGTGGCCGGGCCGCGGTGAACGCAACGGACCGTACTGGCATGTCCTGGCCTGGCTCCCCACCCCTCCCGGGATCCGAGGAAACCGCAGCCGTCTGGGGCGGCAAAGTTAGTAAAGTCATTTAGGAGCGCAGCCTTACTCTGGGGCACCCTCCCGCGAGCGCCAGGATTCCATCCCGTGGGAGTAGACGAGGGCGGAGCTAGGCCTGGGGGCGTGGCCTGCCCAGGGGTGGGGCGGGGCCGGCCTGGGAAGACGGAAACGCCTGCCTAGGGGTAGCGGCAGAACCCGGATTCCGGAATTCCACGTTCTCCGGAGCGGGGCTTCTGGAGACGGCGGGCGAGAAAACCCGGCGCCCGGAAGCTTTTGCTTTCTTTGACGCAAGGGCTCGGGACGCAGCCGCCGTCGGCCGAGCGCCCGGCGAGGAGCGACCTCAGACGGAGCCTTCGGAGTCCCTCCGCCCCGACCTCGCCCGGTGCCCGAGCCTCGGTCCTCCTCGCCGCTGTCCTCGTGGCCATGGAGTGTCCGCACCTCAGCTCCAGCGTCTGCATCGCCCCGGACTCAGCCAAGTTCCCCAACGGCTCCCCGTCGTCCTGGTGCTGCAGCGGTGAGTGCGGC